GGAACACAGTGAGTTTAAGGTGGCCTCCAAATTCTCCAGATATCAATCCAATGGAGCATCTGTGGATGTGCTGGAAAAAACACATCCACCACCTCCTTCGCTCAAGGACTCAGGTCAGAGGAGAGCCGATCAAGTAAATTGATAATGTTCATCCAACCTTTGATGGATGTGCTGGAAAAACAAGTCCGATCCATGGAGGCCCCACCTTGCATCTTATAGGGCTTCAAGGATCTGCTACTGATACTCTTCAGAGGTCTAGCGGAGTCCATGGCTTGAAGGGTTATGGTAGGTGGTCATAATGCTGTGGTTGATTGGTGTATATTACTATTCATTCGCACAATACTTAAGCCCTAATGAAGGGGGAGTATCTAAACCCCTGAAACGCTCTGGCTGCTTCCTATGAGCTATAGAATCTGGCAAAGGCTATAACCCCTCCCTACTATATCCAAAACCAGAAAGGTATGTTTGGGTTGGAGTTTCACTTTAAGTCTAGATGTTAGAGACTATTCAGGACACAGTGATAGTCTCTTTTAAAGCTTACCCCTCACCCACTATTCTCGCCTTCTGGACCATTGAGCAATGGAAGAAGGTGGCGTGATCTGATGAATCCAAGAATGATTTGAGGAATGCAATGAGTTTGAGGTGGTGACTTGCCCTCCAAATTCTCCCAGATGTCAATCCAGTGGAGCATCCGTGGGATGTGCTGGAATAACAGGTTCGATCCATGGTGGCCTCACTTCGCAACTTATAGGGCTTCAAGGATCTGCTACTGATACCACGGCATACCTTCAGAGGTCTAGTGGAGTCCATGGCATGAAGGGTTATGTAGGTGGTCATAATGCTGTGGTTGATTGGTGTATATTACTATTCATTCATACAATACTTAAGCCCTAATGAAGGGGAAGTGTCTAAACCCCTTAAACGCTCTGGCCGCTTCCTATGAGCAATAGAATCTGGCAAAGGCTATAGTCCCTCCCTACTATATCCAAAACCAGAAAGGTATGTTTGGGTTGGAGTTTCACTTTAAGTCTAGATGTTAGAGACTACTCAGGACACAGTGATAGTCTCTTTTAATGCCTACCCCTCACCCACTTATTCTCGCTTTCTAGACCATGCAACAATGGAAGAAGGTGGCCTGGTCTGATGAATTCAAGAATGATTTGAGGAATGCAACGAGTTTGAGGTGTTTGACTAGGCCTCCACACTCTCTCCGATCTCAATCCAACTCAGCATCTGTGTGGGTGTGCTTGAAAAACAAGTTTGATCCATGGACATTGCCAGGACAAGGTCATCTAGAGCCCAAAATGAACATGCCAAACTGTGCCCCCCCCCCCCAAGATGTATAAGCATTGTGTGTCAGCAAAAATCCCCCCCCAAAAAAGAATCTGAGCACTCAATCTCTCTCCTACCAGTACAAATACACCCCCCTGCTGAAATGCCCCCTTCCAGCACAAATCTTTGCTCCCCCCATCCCCCAAATCCCCCCAGCACAAATGTGCCCCCCCAACAAAAATCACCCCTCCTAGCACAAAATCCTCTACTCAAATTTCCCCTCCAAGCACACATCCCCCATCCCCTCATAGCACAATTCCCACCAATCCCCCCCCCCCAGCACAATCATCTTCCCCCATCCCCCCCCCCACAACACAAATCCCCCTAAATCGGAGTTCAGCTTTAACAACTGTTGTATAACTTCCAGAGCATTTCGCTGTAACAATCTGATGCACAAAGCGGCGTTCCAAGGGCGGCGGGGGGTAAGCCTGACTGATAAATTGTTTTGTTAGATGATGCGTCAGAGGGCAGAGCAGACAGCGATGATCTCCTCCAGATAAAAAGACGCTTTATTAAGAAATATCTGGTAATACGACGGGAACAAATAAACTTTATTGTCAGCGCTCCCCAGTCACCAAGGAAACAACTTCATTCGAAGGCTGTAGTCGGCTCGTACAGCTGCTCCAACTCGAAGGAGATTTGAACACGACGGTCTGTCGGTTTCCCTCCGCTCCGTTTGTAATAATAAAATGTTGTTTGTCATTCAGGGCCGGCTTCAGCTACCTGCAGAGTTCAGCTGCCGTGCCGTGCCGAGGATTGGAGGGATTTCATGGAAATCAGTTGAATAAAGGTCTATCGGTGTGCCCGGATTATCTCCTCGATTTCCAGGAATTCTAATAGCAGCAGTAGGTGTAAGGACCGAAATATACAACTGAAAGCTTTTTGGTTATATTGCTGGGATTTTTACACTAACACATTTTTGGTAACATTGTCTAGTCCCCTCTCGTAATATTAAAAGTAGACTGGAATCCAGAACATCTGACAAAAGCTCTCAGTGATTGGTAAAAAGTAGGACATCCAATTTCTAAAGTGAGGGTCAAAGACCTATTTGATTAGGACAGCCTTCCTCAACCTTTTATTTACCATGTAGGAACCCTTAAAATAATATTGACTTACATCATACATTGGGAGACAGTGCTCGAAGAACCCCTAACAATCTCTGCAAGAACCTTCTGGTTCCATGGAACCCTGGATGAGAATGGCTGGTGTAAGACATAGGACAGGTTTGGCCAGGAAAGGGAATCGAAGGCTTTCTTGATATATGTGAATAGAAACATGGTGAGGAAGTTATGTATTCTGCCCATGTACGTAGGTGAGGGTATTCTACTAATATTATTGCTGGCTTGGATGTCAGAGGAAGACTTGATTATTTGGTCTTTTTCAATTCAGTGGTCAACTGAAGCGTTTAGTCTAGAAGCTCAAATTTTAGTTAGAATTTTCATATCTATATTTATGAGGGAATGAGCTTATAGTCATACCAACTGGTGTTATCCTTGTTGGGTTTGGTGATCTTGCATATGGAGAACAACATAGACTCCTGACTAAAGGAGCCTCCACTTCTAATATATTTAGGCTTCATTCACTTGGGTGTATTTAGGTGTACCCCTGCATGAGGTCTGTGTTTTGTCTGCATGGGGCGGACAAATGTTCCATGCATGTAGGTGCCCGTATTATCTCCTCTATTTCCAGGAATTCTAATAGTTAGCAGCAGTAGGTGTAAGGACCGAAATATACAACTGAAAGCTTTTTGGTTACATTGCTGGGATTTTACACTAACACATTTTTGGTATCATTGTCTAGTCCAGTGGTTCTCAACCTTTCTAATGCAGCGACCCCTTAATACAGTTCCTCATGTTGTGGTGACCCCCAACCATAAAATTATTTTCGTTGCTACTTCATAACTGTAATTTTGCAGTGGGAGGACTAGTGCCACATCATTGGTGTCAGTGGAAGGAGTAGTGCCCCATCACTGATGTCAGTGGGAGGAATAGTGCCCCATCGTTGGTGTCAGTGGGAGGAATAGTGCCCCATCGTTGGTGTCAGTGGGAGGAATAGTGCCCCATCGTTGGTGTCAGTGGGAGGAATAGTGCCCCATCGTTGGTGTCAGTGGGGGGAATAGTGCCCCATCGTTGGTGTCAGTGGGGGGAATAGTGCCCCATCGTTGGTGTCAGTGGGGGGAATAGTGCCCCATCGTTGGTGTCAGTGGGGGGAATAGTGCCCCATCGTTGGTGTCAGTGGGGGGAATAGTGCCCCATCGTTGGTGTCAGTGGGGGGAATAGTGCCCCATCGTTGGTGTCAGTGGGGGGAATAGTGCCCCATCGTTGGTGTCAGTGGGGGGAATAGTGCCCCATTGTTGGTGTCAGTGGGGGGAATAGTGCCCCATCGTTGGTGTCAGTGGGGGGAATAGTGCCCCATCGTTGGTGTCAGTGGGGGGAATAGTGCCCCATCGTTGGTGTCATTGGGGGGAATAGTGCCCCATCGTTGGTGTCAGTGGGGGGAATAGTGCCCCATCGTTGGTGTCAGTGGGGGGAATAGTGCCCCATCGTTGGTGTCAGTGGGAGGAATAGAGCCCCAACGTTGGTGTCAGTGGGGGGAATAGTGCCCCAACATTGGTGTCAGTGGGGGGAATAGTGCCCCATCATTGGTGTCAGTGGGGGAATAGTGCCCCATCATTGGTGTCAGTGGGGGGAATAGTGCCCCATCATTGGTGTCAGTGGGGGGAATAGTGCCCCATCATTGGTGTCAGTGGGGGGAATAGTGCCCCATCATTGGTGTCAGTGGGAGGAATAGTGCCCCATCTTTGGGGTCAGGGGGGGGAATAGTGCCCCATCGTTAGTGTCGGTGGGGGGGAGGAATAGTGCCCCATTCTTGGTGTCAGTGGGGGGAGGAATAGTGCCCCATCGTTGGTGTCAGTGGGGGGGAGGCATAGTGCCCCATCATTGGTGTCAGTGCGGGGGGGGAGAGGAAATAGTGCCCCATCATTGGTGTCAGTGGGAGAAATAGTGCCCCATTGTTGGTATTAGTCACACAAATGATGGGGCACTATTCCTCCCACTGACACCAATGATACTTACCTTGCTGACCCCTGCTCCAGCCTGGGCTCGCTCTCTCACTTACCTGTCAGCTGTCTTCCTTCTCTGGCCGCTCTCCTCTTCACTTACTCCGGCAGTTCCCTTGATCTTCTTAGATCTACGCGCGCTGCCGCTCGGCTCCTCCTCTCCAAGCTCCACCTCCTCGCCGGTGATTGGCCGCCTGTGTGCCTCTCCTGAGCTACAGTTCCGGTGGCCAATCAGCGGCGAGGAGGCGGAGTTGTTGAGGGATCCCGGAGGTGTGGCCAGGTGACAGGGCAGCGTGTCATCCCGCCCACACATCGACTGAGTCAGAGGAGCGGTGTCTCGGTTCCTAAGACCATCGGAAATATGTGTTTTCCGATGGTCTTAGGCGACCCCTGGGAAATGGTCGTTCGACCCCCAAAGGGGTCGCGACCCCCAGGTTGAGAACCGCTGGTCTAGTCCCTCTCGTAATATTAAAAGTAGACTGGAATCCAGAACATCTGACAAAAGCTCTCAGAGATTGGTAAATGTAGGAGATCTAATTTCTAAAGTGTGGGTCAAAGCCCCATTTGATTAGGACAGCCTTCCTCAACCTTTTATTTACCATGTAGGAACCCTTAAAATAATATTCAGCTCACAGGAAACACTTTCTAAAAATGAATAAGTCTTCAGGTCATGGCACATCAGCCAAACTACATTGGTAGTCAATGAGAGCTTCTTTGCACTTGGCCAGTGCAAAGAATGTCCTGTTAAACTGGTGGTCGGTGAGAAAAATGCCCATTTCAGTGGTGGTCAATATAGGGCCCCCATACATTGGGAGACAGTGGGAAGAATGCCCCTTACATAGGTGGTCAGTGGGTAGAGTGCTCCTTACATTGGTAATCATTGGGAAAAATGCTCCTTACATTGGTGATCATTGGGAAGGGTGCTCATTACATTGGTGATCATTGGGAAGAATGTTCCTTACATTGGTGTTAAGCCGGAAGAATGTCCCTTACATTGGTGTTAAGCCGGAAGAATGTCCCTTACATTGGTGATCACTGGGGAGAATGTTCCTTACATTGGTGGTCAGTGGGAAGAATTTCCCTTACATTGGTGGTCAGAGGGAAGAATGTCCCTTACATTGGTGGTCAGAGGGAAGAATGCTCCTTACATTGGTGATCATTGGGGAGAATGCTCCTTATATTGGGGGTCAGTGGGAAGAATGCTCCTTACATTGGTGGTCATTGGGGAGAATGTCCCTTACATTGGGGGTCAGTGGGAAGAATGCTCCTTACATTGGGGGTCAGTGGGAAGAATGCTCCTTATATTGGGGGTCATTGGGAAGAATGCTCCTTACATTGGGGGTCAGTGGGAAGAATGCTCCTTACATTGGGGGTCAGTGGGAAGAATGCTCCTTATATTGGGGGTCAGTGGAAAGTATGTTCCATACATTGGTGTTAAGTGGGAAGAATGTCCCTTACATTGGTGATCATTGGGAAGAATGCTCCTTACGTTGGTGATCATTGGGAAGAATGCTCCTTATATTGGGGATCAGTGGGAAGAATGCTCCTTACATTGGGGGTCAGTGGAAAGTATGTTCCATGCATTGGTGTTAAGTGGGAAGAATGCCCCTTACATTGGTGGTCATTGGGAAGAATGCTCCTTACGTTGGTGATCTTTGGGAAGAATGCTCCTTACATTGGTGATCAGTGGGAAGAATGTCCCTTACATTGGTGGTCAGTGGGAAGAATGTCCCTTACATTGGTGGTCAGTGGGAAGAATGCTCCTTACATTGGTGGTCAGTGGGAAGAATGTCCCTTACATTGGTGGTCAGTGGGAAGAATGTCCCTTACATTGGTGGTCAGTGGGAAGAATGCTCCTTACATTGGTGATCAGTGGGAAGAATGTCCCTTACATTGGTGATCAGTGGGAAGAATGTCCCTTACATTGGTGGTCAGTGGGAAGAATGCTCCTTACATTGGTGATCAGTGGGAAGAACGCTCCTTACATCGGTGATCATTGGGAAGAACGTTCCTTACATTGGTGATCAGAGGGAAGATTGCTCTCTACATTTGTGGCCAGTAGGAAGAATCCTCCTTATATTGGTGATCCTTGGGAAGAATACTCCTTACACTGGTGGTCATTGTAGAGAACCTATGTACATTAGGGGAGAGTGAGAAGAATGTTTCTTACATTGGTGATCATTGGGGAGAATGCTCCTTACATTGTTGGTCAGAGGGAAGAATGCTCCTTACTATGGTGATCATTGGGGAGAATGCTCCTTACATTGGGGGTCAGTGGAAAGAATGCTCCTTACATTTGGGGTCCATGGAAAGTATGTTCCATACATTGGTGTTAAGTGGGAAGAATGTCCCTTACATTGGTGGTCATTAGGAAGAATGTCCCTTACATTGGTGATCAGTGGGAAGAATGCTCCTTACGTTGGTGATCAGTGGGAAGAAATTGGTGATCAGTGGGAAGAATGCTCCTTACATTGGTGGTCAGTGGGAAGAATGCTCCTTACATTGGGGGTCAGTGGGAAGAATGCTCCTTACATTGGTGATCAGTGGGAAGAACGCTCCTTACATTGGTGATCATTGGGAAGAACACTCCTTACATTGGTGATCAGCGGGAAGATTGCTCTCTACATTGGTGGCCAGTAGGAAGAATCCTCCTTACATTGGTGATCCTTGGGAAGAATACTCCTTACACTGGTGGTCATTGTAGAGAACCTATGTACATTAGGGGAGAGTGAGAAGAATGTTTCTTACATTGGTGGCCAGTAAGAAGAATGTTCCTTCCATTGATAGTCAGTGTAGAGCCCCCATACATTGATGAACAGCTGGATGAATCTTCCCCTTACGGACAGCGAATATGATGACTGGTGTCAGTGGTTGCTTATCTGAGAAAAGAAAGAATAAGCTCCACTGCTCCCATTCCAGTGGTTCTGCTGAGTGGTGTTGGTACCTGAACTATGTGGGCACCATCGGGCAACAGATCCACCCATCACTGCTCAAAGAACCCCTAGCAATCTCTGTAAGAACCTTATGGTTCCATGGAACCCTGGATGAGAATGGCTGGTGTAAGACATAGGACAGGTTTGGCCAGTAAAGGGAATTGAAGGCTTGATATATGTGAATAGAAGAATGGTGAAGAAGTTCTGTATTCTGCCCATGTGGGTAAGTGAGGTTATTCTTCTAATATTATCGCTGGCTTGGATGTCAGAGAGAAGACTACTTGATTATTTGGTCTTTTTCAATTCAGTGGTCAACTGAAGCGTTTAGTCTAGAAGCTCAAATTTTTGTTAGAATTTTCATATCTATATTTATGAGGGAATGAGCTTATAGTTATACCAAGTGGTGTTATCCTTGTTGGGTTTGGTGATCTTGCATATGGAGAACAACATAGACTCCTGACTAAAGGAGCCTCCACTTCTAATATACAGTCAGGTCCATAAATATTGGGACATCAACATAATTCTAAAATTTTTGGCTCTATACACCACCACAATGGATTTGAAATGAAACAAACAAGATGTGCTTTAACTGCAGACTGTCAGCTTTAATTTAAGGGTATTTACATCCAAATCAGGTGAACGGTGTAGGAATTACAACAGTTTGCATATGTGCCTCCCACTTGTTAAGGGACCAAAAGTAATGGGACAATTGGCTTCTCAGCTGTACCATGGCCAGGTGTGTGTTGTTCCCTCATTATCCCAATTACAATGAGCAGATAAAAGGTCCAGAGTTAATTTCAAGTGTGCTATTTGCATTTTGGAATCTGTTGCTGTCAACTCTCAAGATGAGATCCAAAGAGCTGTCACTATCCATGAAGCCATCATTAGGCTGAAAAAACAAAACAAACCCATCAGAGAGATAGCAAAAACATTAAGCGTGGCCAAAACAACTGTTTGTAACATTCTTAAAAAGAAGAAACGCACTGGTGAGCTCAGCAACACCAAAAGACCCAGAAGACCACGGAAAACAACTGTGGTGGATGACCGAAGAATTCTTTCCCTGGTGAAGAAAACACCCTTCACAACAGTTGGCCAGATCAAGAACACTCTCCAGGAGGTAGGTGTATGTGTGTCAAAGTCAATAATCAAGAGAAGACTTCACCAGAGTGAATACAGAGGGTTCACCAGAAGATGGAAACCATTGGTGAGCCTCAAAAACAGGAAGGCCAGATTAGAGTTTGCCAAACTACATCGAAAAAAGCCTTCACAGTTCTGGAACAACATCCGATGGACAGATGAGACCAAGATCAACTTGTACCAGAGTGATGGGAAGAGAAGAGTATGGAGAAGGAAAGGAACTGCTCATGGTCCTAAGCATACCACCTCATCAGTGAAGCATGGTGGTGGTAGTGTCATGTCGTGGGCATGTATGGCTGCCAATGGAACTGGTTCTCTTGTATTTATTGATGATGTGACTGCTGACAGAAGCAGCCGGATGAATTGTGAAGTGTTTCGGGAATATTATCTGCTCATATTCAGCCAAATGCTTCACAACTCATTGGACGCTTCACAGTGCAGATGGACAATGACCCAAAGCAGACTGCAAAAGCAACCAAAGAGTTTTTTAAGGGAAAAAAGTGGAAAGTTATGCAATGGCCAAGTCAATCACCTGACCTGAATCCGATTGAGCATTTCACTTGCTGAAGACAAAAACTGAAGGGAAAATGCCCCAAGAACAAGCAGGAACTGAAGACAGTTGCAGTAGAGGCCTGGCAGAGCATCACCAGGGATGACACCCAGCGTCTGGTGATGTCTATGCGTTCCACACTTCAGGCTGTAATTCACTGCAAAGGATATGAAACCAAGTATTAAAAAGTGAAAGTTTGATTTATGATTATTATTCTGTCCCATTACTTTTGGTCCCTTAACAAGTGGGAGGCACATATGCAAACTGTTGTAATTCCTACACCGTTCACCTGATTTGGATGTAAATACCCTCAAATTAAAGCTAACAGTCTGCAATTAAAACACATCTTGTTTGTTTCATTTCAAATCCATTGTGGTGGTGTATAGAGCCAAAAATGTTAGAATTGTGTCGATGTCCCAATATTTATGGACCTGACTGTATTAAGGCTCCATTCACTTGGGTGTATTTAGGTGTACTCCTTCATGAGGTCTGTGTTTTGTCTGCATGGGGTGGACAAATGTTCCATGCATGTGGGTGCAGGCAGTCTCATTCATATCAACTGGGAAGCAGCAGCTGCACAGACACAGCTGAAGCTCCCAATTTGACATCTATGTGGGGTCAGGTGCATGCCCCCGAATGCAGTGTGAGTTCAGGTACTTGCACCCACACAGATGTCACATTGGGAGCTGCCGTTGTGTCCGTGCAGTTGCTGCATCCCAATTGACGTAAATGGGACTGCTGGACGCAGATGCACAGAACACTTGAAAACTTGTGCGTCCCATACGGGCAAACACAACCCTCACACGGTATACACTTAAGTGTGCCCATGTCAACGAGGCCTTAAAGGAATCTGCTAAAATATGGGTGTCAAACTGGTGGCCCTCCAGCTGTTGCCAAACTACAAGTCCCATGAGGCATTGCAAGATTGACAGTTACAAGCATGACTCCCAAAAGCAGAGGCATTATGGGACTTGTAGTTTTGCAACAGCTGGAAGGCCGCCAGTTTGACACCCCTGTGCTAAAAGAAGGGCTAGGAATTTGGAGAACTTAAAATGGGAAACACCTACCAGTGCCTAGTATTTATTACTCTGGATGGAATTGATAGCCCCTGTACTTCTCAGAAAGTGATAGGTTCATCAAAGACCTCTCTAGCAAAAACAGGCAAAGGTGGGAGGTGAAGTTTACCAAAGATATGATTTGCCAGGAAAGTGGGAAAAAAGCTGAGTGCCATGGTGTTGGGACCCAGATTTGAACCTGTGTCTGGTAATGTCTCTTCTTGTTGAGTTAACTAAGATGCTGGACAGTTCCCTGTCTGTCAGTTCCCTGTCTGTCAGTTCCCTGTCTGTCAGTTCCCTGTCTGTCAGTTCCCTGTCTGTCAGTTCCCTGTCTGATCCCTTAGACAATCTTGCCTTGGACCTTGTTTCTAGTGAACCTTGAACCCTTTGCTCTT